ATGGACCCTAAGATCTTGGACACAATATTACTCAAGCTAATTCCCCTATGGTTGTCACAAGAAGATTTCTCTCTCTTCTTATAAACTAGGATGATCAGAGAAGTAGGTAAGTCTCATTCACACTATACCTAGTATCTTCGTCACTTTAAGCAGCAATTTTCCACCTCCATGCTTGAAAACTTAATGCGGCAAAATGTCAGCTCCTGCTGCTTTGAATCGTTTCAGGTTAGATACAGCTTTCTCAACTTCAAGGGGAGTTGGACTGACATCGACGTCCTGTTCAGGTTCAGGTTGGATGTTGAGCAACGGAAGGGTTGCTGAGGGCCAGTTGAACTGTGCTTCAGTGTCCTACGCAACGTTGTAGCCCCCTGTCCTGGGATATTATCAGCACCGCATCCTTCTCGGTGATGCTTTCACTTGCCATCGTCTTTTTCTTGCGGGTATCCCTAATGAACCTAAATACGTGCCGAGTGCTACCTAACGCTGATGCTTTTTTCATCTCTCTCGCTTTCGCTACCCACCGCTGCCCGCAATCGACGCGAAAAGTCTTGGTCAACTTAAGTTTAAGTCGCCCGCACTCTTCGTCGCGGTCAGAGATACCTGATTTCAGTCTTCTCGCATTAGTCAGTTCGGATGACGTTGCGGAAATATAATGACGTTTGCTAACCTTCAGGTTTAGTTAGCCAACTATCTTTACCGCTGTTTTCACAGCAGACTTAATATCACACCAGGTTTCCTCAGGATGAGCATTGCTGTCCCGTTCAGATAAATGCATAGCTAACTCCTCTCTAAATGAGCAGTTGACGTCCCCACTTTTCAAGAGACCACAAATAGGCCTCTTGTTTCCTACGGCCAATGAAACTCGGATATACACTAGTCCGTACTAAAGCGTTGTCGGTGTCCAAACTGGTACTCGAGAAAGAGCGGCAATCCTCCAACGATGGCTTATAGTAGTGTGATCTGTCTGTGTCCACAGTTGGCTTGAAGTTAGTAGACGCCATGAGAGATAGTAGCTCTCTTTATACCTTAAGTTAGTGCCGGCCAGAAGAAAGTGATTGTCGGAGCGAAATCGCAACAGACGACCATAGTTGGCATTCCATAAATACCTCCCAAACGCCTCTTCGGTTGGCTCAGCTTCACTACTTGAGCGTTGAAGTCACCTTCCATTATGACCACATCTGAACGTTTTGCTTTCCGTAGCAAAACTGACAACTTTTCTTAGAACCCATCGTTTGCATCATCCAAGCTTCACTCGGTAGGTGCGTAGGGGAAGACTACAGAAAGTCATCGGTTGGTCTCGCTATCTTTCCTTGTTCATTCAGTTGAACAGCACATAGACGGCTGTTTACAAAATAATGAACAACCGAAGTCATCCGAACAGAGGATTACTACCGAGTGGCCACTATGGTGATCCTCGTGTAAACCCTAAGAGAATTGCCCACCCATGCGCGGATATGAAAGATGAAGGGATGAAGAAAATCAAAAGTGTTAGAAATTGATCAAAAGAAAGCAAGGAGGAACGACAAAATATCAAAATTTAGTATGATGCTTAAGATGAAGGTAATTTGTGGATAAGTGTGCGCCTCTGAGATTGGTTCCGAGCCGTATCGCCTAGTCTCTAGTGATTGGTTTCTGTTTTCTCGTGGACTCTAACTGTGAGGTCCGCATTCCCTACACGTCTAAGGCCAACAGTTACAGACTTCAGGGACTGATACCATATCCTACTCTAGCCACCACTGACCTTCATCCAACCTAGACCTAATTCGGCTAACACTACGAGACGTGACAGACGATGACTCGACATGCGCAACACATGTTCAACTCACCTGAACTAATGAAGGCCCACAACCTCATCAACTGACTTTCCTCTTGGCTTAAAACTCTACGCTTGACTTCTACGTTACTAAAATGGTGACATCACAACTCACGGCCAATGTTACGAAGACGGCGGCGATTAAACACCTGAGGTCTTCTCATGCCGTCTGCCTTCAATAGCCATGTTTCACAAATATATAGTAGAAAAGAACCAAATAAAGCTCAGTACACTTGACCCTGAATAGACAGTCGGATATCTCAGTGACACCGTAAATAAAGTGAGTTAGCTAAGGCCAATCAGACTTTTTGTATCTATGAAAACATTTGGCAGGTCACTCACTGACCCACCACGATTAACCCGCCTTCTCAGGTAACAGAAGCGGTCAACGTACCCAACAATACACCAGAAAAGATCAGCGCTAGAGCATCATATTCTGTTTGTGTGGTGAAAAACGAATTCTAAGCATTCATAAGTTGCCACATACAGTGCCAGGAAGACTGAATACCGTCAGGGATTTCACCTAACGGGACTATAACATCTTAGTACTTTAGAGCTACTAAGTGGTATCCTGTGACAAGATTATTCCCTTTAAAATCTGATGTTGAGCGTCAGACAGAATATGGAGAGAATAGACATCTTTGACGGACACAAATGGATACACACAACTCGCATGATAGGCCATCATAGGCTGTAACAGCCGCGGATGCTTAACGCGGTGACAGACTCATCCGCCAGCCCTTTCAATGTGAGATGTTTCCGTGAAACCTTTCAGTCGACGCAGTCAAACGCCGCCATCGGATTGAGAAATGCAATTAGTGTCGGGGGTTGGTAAGTGTGTCTGTGTTATGGAACCTTGCAGAGGGTGAATATTTGGTCGATACATCGACCCACGACCAAACCTAAAACTTGCCTGGTTTCCTACGATTTTGTGTTACAAGGCATCACTCAGACGTCTAATGACGACAGAGCCTGGAATCGTAGACAACATGTTCATCAGGTTGATTCTCCTGTGGTTATCACAAGAGGACTTCTCCTCTTCCTTAGAGGCTGGGGCAATCAGTGATTGAGAGCAGATAGAGGGCATCATATCTGACTTCCATGCACTAGCCACAACTTCAGCTAATTTGATAAATAATTCTCTACCACCATCCTTAAATTCCTCCAGCAATATTTGTTCCGGCCCTTCTACCTGTTCTCAACTGAGGTTTCTAAAAGTCTTCCGGACTTCTGCAAGTGTTCGAGGTCCTATCTCCACGTACCAATCAGGATCCGGTTGAACTGTCCCTTGAAGTATTCCATCTACCGTTCCTGTCGTTCCTCCTATAAGTAGATCATAGTCTCATCCTTCTGCACAATAGTCTCACTAACCAGTGTCCTTGATAATTTTAGATAACTGTCTGGCGTTACTAATCTCTGCTACCTTTTCCATCTCTTTAGTCTTCGCTGCTCACCACTGTTCGCTATCGTTACGTAGACGTTTTGTTAGTTTACATTTGGATTATTTAGGCTCATTATGGTGCTTGAGGCCTGCAGAAATGCGTTTGGGTGCATCTATTATTTCTGTAAAGGCTGCTGAGACCCTTTGGCCCTCTCTAACCACTTTCTGAGAGTCAGCTATGGTCTGTCTTATTCTTTTCACAACAGACTGGAGGGGGTGCTCGTCGTTTTGATGAACGATACTGTTCTATACCGATAACTGTCTAGCCAATTTCTCACTGAAATCATTTTTCATTTTCGCATTGTTGAGTTGCACTCACAATGGTCTTGTTGCTATAGTTTTTCTAGTTCTATTTAAACTCAGACATACACATCGTTGAACCGACAAGTAGTCGACACGACTGTGAATTTTTATTGATTGCACCAGGATATAGCTGGGTAAAGGAAAGTATGACATTTTTGGGGACGACAGTTTATAACAGCCCCCTTCCCATTGGAAAGGTAGCATCAGCGTGGTACTGCTACATGAAAGAGACCTTATTGATGTTACACTATCGTCGAGTCAGCAATACGATTTCGCCCTCGCACCCTCGTCACAGCGTAGTTATTTACACTACGAGATGGACTCTCTTAAGTCTCACCACAATCCAACAAACCTTTCTGGGATGGTAGGACCTCGAGGCAACAAGGGTTTTAGCCAGTTTAATTTGTTGGGTCATTTCAATATAAAAACCCGATCACCACGTCAAGGTAGCGGCAATCGCAGGGGTTCGTTGTAACTTTTTACTTTGCTAGTCTTCATAGTTATTGTTACCTTCATTGCTATTTTGACTATTAATATAACCTCATTGGATCTAGATGCATTTTCTACCCTTTAACTCACTAGACATTTTCATATTAATTCTTATTGGAAGTATAGTGTGATAACGTTGTTTGAAATATGTTGCTCAAACGCATCAAACGATTCAGACAAATTAAGTTTTCTTATCCTTTGATTAAGATACTTTGAAAACTGTCTCTCAATTCAGTTGATGAAGCTTCAACCCATAGTTATGTATCAAGCACAAATTTAAATTCAACCAAAAGGTAACATACGATGTAACTGGTTTTACTTTGTGTTCTAATCGATAAACCTAACTTGTGACAGGTACGTAATTTCCTCAGTACTTCTGATTAGTTAAAGTGGTTAGGCACTGTATGGTTCAACACAAAACGGAGTTAACTGGTACACAGTTTTGTGATTCACTGACTGAAGCCCTCGACTTTCAAGAAATGGGTCCAGGATTCAATTCCTGGGCAATTTACTGTGACGTAGGCAGTCGGGTAGTATCATAAATACTCAAACACTAACATGGCTCACAGCCTGATATATAAGCCTGTACCGGATTGAGTTACATTTCTTTTTATCGGTTTATGCTTATGGTACCCAACTAGTCAACAAAGATTATTTCTAAGCTCCTACATTATCATTATCAGTGATAAAGCCTACTTAAGCTATACGAATAAGTGACCGTTTCATCAAATTAGATACGCTGTAAGAGTTTATCTTAACGATATCATGATAAGGAAACGTAAGCAGAGAAATATGGTAATGGACTATTAAGCAATCAACTGGTATAAATAAGAGTCACTTGGTTGATAGAAAAACAATTCACTTGTACACAATAGCCACGAAATCTGTGAAATAATACACATATTTGACTTTTCGTAACTGACAGAAATGTTACTTTACGCAAAAATTGATTACCTTTAAAATTTCATATGCACAATTCAAATCATTTTCTTGACAATCAACTTTTGATTTTCTTCAGCCTCTTGGTCTAGTTCCATTCGCCTTTCAAGAGCTTTACACTGTGCTTGCAGTAACACTGACGAAGAAGGTAGGGCGCTTAAGCCGTGTGATGCCAGTTCTACGGCTTCATTAACTTTTGAAAGCGCTAAACACGCTTCGATTCCTATTGTAAAACAGTTAGATCTTAAAACCGTTCCGACCTTTTACATAAGCTTTAAGATGATCAGGTGATAATTGAACAGCAGATTACAATCATTAATACACGATCGATAGTTTTCTTAATAAAATAATAAAGAGCTGAAACGTTAACACCCACGTATGCAGAAATGACTCAATGCTCTGTTAGTATACAGTATTGCATTAAGTTTGGAATGAGATGACTTGGCACGCAAGCCTGCAGTGTAAGATGTAATTGCTTTAGAAAAGTCTTTTCTCTGATAATAATAATTCCCCTCTTCTTTGTAACTAAGTGCATTAGCTGAAAACGAACATTTGTTTTATGTAGTCTCACCATCTGGATCTTCTGACTCGAACTTTAATGCCTGAAGAGCCTCGGTAGCTGGATGCAAGCTAGAAGTGGGATCGATTTCTGCTGCAAATGCAGGATGATTAACCATATTCTAGCCAAAAGTTAATTAAGAAAAACATACCTCCCAGTCTATTGGATCAACTGAACTATCCCCTTCGCTCTTGAGGTCATCTGTTGTACTCATTGTTTCAATGTACACTGAATGTAAATACGCACTGACAAAAAAATTGAACATGGAGTGCTATTAGTTTACACTTTAAATAATGCAAATAGAATCATGGAACTTTAACTGCTCAAAATAAGGTTATTTCCTGAAAACTTCAAGTGAATAGATTATGCCATATTCTAGAAGACAGATCAACCCAGAAAATCTGTACTGTATTACGGCAGCTGCAATTATTGAAAACAGAACGAATTCTAGCAAGTCCTAGAGCCTTCCTTCCTAAATATACAAACCTATAGTCGAAAATTTCGTTATTTGTTTGTATTGACCGCTAGTCTAGTCAAGTATGCAACACAGACATAAGATAAACAATATGAGCGAAGAAATATTTCTTTTCAATTAGTTCCTTATCAATGGCTTTACACTAATATAGCATCTTCAAAACGTAAAATTGCATACCAATCTTTCTACTACAATAATCTATGCTTTAGTTAATTGTCTTAATTACCTGATCAATTACCGCCTTCCTGATACTTTGAGATTGACAACTTTTCACTAAACAACTCTTATCACTAGATTGCTACGTTTGAAAATGCTATATTAGTGTAGAGCCATTGATGAGGAACTAATTGAAAAGAAATATTTCTTCGCTCACATTGTTCGTTTTAAATGTCTAAATGGGAATTTTTGCATTACAGACATAAGAGTAGTTTCGAAATTGTAGCAGAGAACGATTGGGTATTTATATCTCTACTTGATACACTACACAGTGCTATTCCTTGAATGAAATTTCGAATACAACATACCGTTCATAATCATATCAAGGTTAAAAACTACTTTAGATCTATTTTAATGCTTCAGCATTTTCCTCCTACTCAACTAGTATTGAAAAGTAAATAACAGAAGAGCAAATAATACACCACCATGTGCTACATAAAAAATAACAAACTACGATGAATAGAAAAAGAAACTTGGAGAAAAACGATGAAATTTTTATATTCATTTACCATTCTTTGAACTAAAGTTGGTACGATATGGGTGCTGAAGGACTGATTGTACACAGTGAAACGATAATATTGACGAAAACGTGGAGTCACGAAGTCAAACATAGTGTATATTCATGCATTATGACTCCGTGTGTAGGACAAAAGGGATCTTGCCACTCAGTGTCTCACGATATCAGAAATCGCTTAGAATGAAAATCAGTTGCAATCATGCAGTTTTCTCGGATACTGTATTTGTGTCAAGCAAGATGAAGGCGACCAATATATTCTGAACCTCTCTTATGAAAATGAATCTCTAACCACTTTACGTTGGAGTGCATTCGCGGCAGTGTTTGATTACTTTGTATGCCAAATTTTCGGTGCTCATATTTTACTGTGTTTAAAATGTAATAACCATAACATAACTACTGAAACTTAATATTTCTCCCTCGCTTCTTCAAGCCAATCCCTATTATCGAGTAAAATATTGTGATGGTGGAAATGTTTGAGATAGTTTACATCCAAGACGTTAAAGCGTAAATTGAGAAGACCTTTGCTGTATAACATTTTTCGGTACAACTGGACATGCTACTAGATTTTGGAATCTAGATGGCGTTGTCATTGTATACAAGTGGTTACACATAAACAGACGATTGAAAATCCTTATACATTATAATTCGCATATACAAGGCAAAACTGCGCGCATCGAAAGGCTTTATAACCCCAAAGTTTGTTAACAAGAGAGCTACAGATTGCTAGACGTGTCCCACATCGGTATATTCCACTTTGAATTTATGAGCTTGACATAGCTACGTTGTGATAGGGGGTCCGAGGGTGAAGCCATACAGCTAGCTAGAAGTGACAGCAGTAAAGTTTCCCATGGATGGTCAGCAGTACCAAGTTGACGCTATCTTCCCCATAGGAAGGACATCTGAACTCTACACCACGTCAGACGTTACTTGCCGAACTCTAGAAATTTAAAACATACATATGCTGTGTTTCTAAGATATGCATAAAAGGCCCAAGTGTTATTACGCACCTGACCTAACCTCGCCAATATGATGAATCTGCAAAATCGACGTTACCAGTCTCGAGGACTTGCTGGTATAGGCACAGCATTGATTTGTAGAGAATAAAAAGCACACCTTAACTGGATATCAATCATCAGACATCTGTGTGCCGTGCGACTGAATGGATCTGTAAAACTAAGAATACTTGTGAAACTTGTTGATGTCTATTCATAATCTACTTACGCACCCAACGACTAGTGTACGGATGATACAAAAGATGAATTCTACCAAGAGCTGTCAATTTTGACACGAAACGTTAAGATATATTCATAATAGCAGACGACTTTAACGCTCAAGTAGGGGAGATGAGGCAGTCAAAATGGCATCTTGGAAGTATTTGCAAAATACTATCCCAACGAACCGACAAAAGCGATCCTTCACTGAAATTTTGTTCTGATAATCACTTAATTCTGGCCGACACTAACCTCAAGCATAAGGAGAAAAGCTGGCTCACCTAGGTTTCATCGACATCAAACTAACAGATTATATCAACATAATCCATCTTCATTTTCAACTAGCACCACCACTTCTCCTGACCATATGGAGATTCTTAGTTAAATAAGGTTTAAGCCACATGTGATATTTGTCGTGGTCATGTCAACCCAAATGAGTTCGGATAAGGTTGCAGAAATCTACTCTCAATTGGATGTACGTTGCTAGCTATCTCAACCACTACAAATTTCCAGGCAATAATTGTTAGGAATGTCCTGAAGGTTTAGCACTAAGTCAATTTTAACCATTATATAATGATATCGTTGCCACTGTTTTTAAAGGCAGGAAGAATGCACAAAAGGGCAGGCGGTCAGGCAGAAAGACTTAGGTGGCGCTTTTAAAATCCAAACGGAACGAACAGATAACGGTCGTCGCCTGATACAATTATGTTCACACAACCATCTGTTTTTTGCGAGCACAAAATTCAGAAATGCACAGACACTGGATAATGGGTTAAACAATTCAAATAAATGATACACATAGATAGACATAATTACAATCACTCATCAACAGAGAGATTGAGTGGAAGATTGCCACAGTCTCTACAGCACGCATTTGCACAGAGACACCGTGTCGGTTCAACGATGTGTATGTCTGAGTTTAAATAGAACTAGAAAAACTATAGCAACAAGACCATTGTGAGTGCAACTCAACAATGCGAAAATGAAAAATGATTTCAGTGAGAAATTGGCTAGACAGTTATCGGTATAGAACAGTATCGTCATCAAAACGACGAGCACCCCCTCCAGTCTGTTGTGAAAAGAATAAGACAGACCATAGCTGACTCTCAGAAAGTGGTTAGAGAGGGCCAAAGGGTCTCAGCAGCCTTTACAGAAATAATAGATGCACCCAAACGCATTTCTGCAGGCCTCAAGCACCATAATGAGCCTAAATAATCCAAATGTAAACTAACAAAACGTCTACGTAACGATAGCGAACAGTGGTGAGCAGCGAAGACTAAAGAGATGGAAAAGGTAGCAGAGATTAGTAACGCCAGACAGTTATCTAAAATTATCAAGGACACTGGTTAGTGAGACTATTGTGCAGAAGGATGAGACTATGATCTACTTATAGGAGGAACGACAGGAACGGTAGATGGAATACTTCAAGGGACAGTTCAACCGGATCCTGATTGGTACGTGGAGATAGGACCTCGAACACTTGCAGAAGTCCGGAAGACTTTAGAAACCTCAGTTGAGAACAGGTAGAAGGGCCGGAACAAATATTGCTGGAGGAATTTAAGGATGGTGGTAGAGAATTATTTATCAAATTAGCTGAAGTTGTGGCTAGTGCATGGAAGTCAGATATGATGCCCTCTATCTGCTCTCAATCACTGATTGCCCCAGCCTCTAAGGAAGAGGAGAAGTCCTCTTGTGATAACCACAGGAGAATCAACCTGATGAACATGTTGTCTACGATTCCAGGCTCTGTCGTCATTAGACGTCTGAGTGATGCCTTGTAACACAAAATCGTAGGAAACCAGGCAAGTTTTAGGTTTGGTCGTGGGTCGATGTATCGACCAAATATTCACCCTCTGCAAGGTTCCATAACACAGACACACTTACCAACCCCCGACACTAATTGCATTTCTCAATCCGATGGCGGCGTTTGACTGCGTCGACTGAAAGGTTTCACGGAAACATCTCACATTGAAAGGGCTGGCGGATGAGTCTGTCACCGCGTTAAGCATCCGCGGCTGTTACAGCCTATGATGGCCTATCATGCGAGTTGTGTGTATCCATTTGTGTCCGTCAAAGATGTCTATTCTCTCCATATTCTGTCTGACGCTCAACATCAGATTTTAAAGGGAATAATCTTGTCACAGGATACCACTTAGTAGCTCTAAAGTACTAAGATGTTATAGTCCGTTAGGTGAAATCCCTGACGGTATTCAGTCTTCCTGGCACTGTATGTGGCAACTTATGAATGCTTAGAATTCGTTTTTCACCACACAAACAGAATATGATGCTCTAGCGCTGATCTTTTCTGGTGTATTGTTGGGTACGTTGACCGCTTCTGTTACCTGAGAAGGCGGGTTAATCGTGGTGGGTCAGTGAGTGACCTGCCAAATGTTTTCATAGATACAAAAAGTCTGATTGGCCTTAGCTAACTCACTTTATTTACGGTGTCACTGAGATATCCGACTGTCTATTCAGGGTCAAGTGTACTGAGCTTTATTTGGTTCTTTTCTACTATATATTTGTGAAACATGGCTATTGAAGGCAGACGGCATGAGAAGACCTCAGGTGTTTAATCGCCGCCGTCTTCGTAACATTGGCCGTGAGTTGTGATGTCACCATTTTAGTAACGTAGAAGTCAAGCGTAGAGTTTTAAGCCAAGAGGAAAGTCAGTTGATGAGGTTGTGGGCCTTCATTAGTTCAGGTGAGTTGAACATGTGTTGCGCATGTCGAGTCATCGTCTGTCACGTCTCGTAGTGTTAGCCGAATTAGGTCTAGGTTGGATGAAGGTCAGTGGTGGCTAGAGTAGGATATGGTATCAGTCCCTGA